ACTTTATATCTGCACTGATTAAAGCCAATGTAATGTTTTTTAACAATAATTATTTTATTCTGTTCTTTTCTATCACAATTCCTCTTTCACATAATGCATCTGTATGGGCAGATAGCTGTAAAATATTAGAGTTGGAAAATGGCGGTACGAGTATATTATATGAGTATTAATATTATTTACATTGATTTACAAACTAGTCTGAAATTTACAAAATCACCCAATGATAATAATATAATCAAAATGTGTCGAGAAGGCCCCAGGAGACTCAGACTTAAGTTATTTTTTCTCTCATCGTATAGTGCAATGGAACTCACGATTAATTTGATAAGCAATCAATATAGTGATTTTTGAGTGAGGACACGAGCAAATGTGAAATGTATCTAAATTTGACACATACAATTTTGTTGACACCCTTGAATATTTACAGACAAAAAGTTTGAGTCTGAATCTGTTGGAGTAAACTCACACGAGTCTGTAAATAGTTTTCAAATAATTGATAAAAAACCATTCTGAAAATCGTTATAGACAAATTCCCCTGTTAAACATTATAACACAAGTAAAAATAAGACATTGTTTTATTTTGTAGCAAGTCAGATATGACCCGTCCCATCTAACCCCATCCCTAAAAATATGTCCATTGTATTCACATTGTATGCACCATCTCCCACATTGAGACCTACTAAATTCTGTCAATATCGCTTTCTGCTTTTCCAACTCCAGAGACAACTCCAATTTGGCATAAACAGTAATAAACTCCCCTCGACCAAAAGTTCCCGCCTGACTATCACGGCAAGTAATCTAATAAGCGTGACAAAATGGCAGCCCTTGATTTCTGGTTGCCGCAGGTGACAGAAAAGGATGGAGGTGTCATTAAGGCGGCCAACTGGAACCATCACGTCCCCAAACGCAGTGTGTGTGGCTTTCTTTGCTTTGTTCAAACCGCCACCAGTCGCTTTGTGTCCTTCCTCACCCCCTTTTCTCACTCTCTCTGTACCTGATTTCAAGCTCCCACATCTATTACGGGCCGAGAGCTTGTAATTAGCCTTTTCTCTATTTCTGATGTCACTTCAAAGTCCCTAAGACCACCGACAAATGCAGCAAAGTCTAAAGCTGAGAGGCGGAGCTGCATTATGTTTGGCTGCCGGTCACTAATTCAATTAATCACCAAATGCGTTTTTTAATCCCGACATGAAAAGGACAAACTTGCTACGTTTTTCACAGCAGCACGTTCCCACATAAGAAAACAATATTCAAAGTAAATATAACCTTCATAGAGACTTTAAGCTGGCGGTCTCTATGCATAGGATTGGACTGTAAAGGACACAGGAATAAGAAGGAGTGAAGAAGTCTGAGACTTTGGCAAGAATGTAAAATATGAGTGATTATTTTAGATGAGAAGGAGGAGGGGGAAGCGTTGGGCAGAAATGTACTTTTCGAGGCCAATGAGTTTATCTTGATCTGCCAAAAAGTGCTTGCGTCAAATCCAAAACCAATTACGCAAAAAGTCAAAGAAATGGTGTAAAATATTAAACTTGTCTCTTCATAATAGGGTATAAACAATGTATCAGGTTTTGAAGAAAATAAAACTTCGGCGGCACTGAGCATGATACGTCTCAGAGTCATAAATGTTAGAAATTATACCAGTTCATGTCATTGGGTTCCATTGGAAATTCCTTTTCTATTAAAAATGAATCTTCCAGTTATCCAAAATACACATATATTTCTGCTTTTGAGTCGGGAGGGAATCTTGTGGGCCACTAGATGTGCTGTCCTGTTTAAAGCAGTGCTGGGGGTAAACCATAATTATGTGTATCTACTATAACCAGACTCAATTTCTCAGCATACAAAGCACCCATACATAAGCCCAATAATAACTGTTATAACATACAATGAGACAGATTTGCATATAAATTCAAATTATTTTATGTGAATTTAATGTGATTGTTATTACATGTGAAAGAAGCACCCGGGGTTTGAAAATATTAAAAATCCTTCCTTCTGAATAAAGTTCTTGTACACAGAGATTTTTGTGACACATTTGGGGCTGTTACATCTGAATGATATAATATCATGTGATAACATACAGTTTGAGTTGTGAGCCTCACATAAGACACTAATGTGGGTCCTACCAGCTCTATGTTAGCGAGCACTTATACTTACTGGTATAGTACCGATTTAATATTAATGGGTCCCTATGTCACAAGGATTTATAAATTCAATAGTGCGTAGATTTACCACAAATATTAGGCAAAAGGCCAGGGTCTCCTTCATACACCTCACATGCGAGCAGCTACTGTATAGTGGTCAGACTAAAGACGTCCTCCTCACTCACAGCTGCGAAGGCACCACTCAGCTCCGAAAGGGATATGAGAATTAACAATTTTATTTTGCCACTTCAAAAAAACATTTAATTTTACAAGATGAGACAAGAACAAAAGTTGACTTTCTCCATAAAGTTGTTGACGCCTGTCCCCCTGAGCTCAGAGGCTGCAGGAGTATGATTTCCTGTACCTGAAATGTGTTTTCTCGTTCACACTGGTGCTGTCACAATGTGATGCACTCTTCTACAAATGAAAATATACAAAATTTTTCATTTCCTTTAGTTGAATACTGTTCAACAATCATATTTTCAACAGACAGAAGAAAATGGCATTTGTCAGCCTGTTGTAGAGCTATATTTTCATGGGAGAAAAATAACCAGTAAAACTTGTATATAGTAGTAATTTTAAGAAATGTTATGTAGATTATTAAATTCTATGCATGCCTCACTCTATTTTTACTTGAATAACTTGTTTGCACCGGGAGCAATTTACTAGTTTGTGACATTCTGTTACTCAGAATGGCAGTACAAATAATTCTGATTCTATTTCTAAGTTTACAATCGAGATCTCTGCCTGGACTGCTGCCCCCACGACCCAGCAATGGATGAAGCGGATGAAAATGATGAATGGATGGACAATTGTGACCATTCCATTCCAGTCGCTATCACAAATCTGATTTTAATACCACGCAGGAAGAGTAAAAAAAAGAAAATGCATCCTCGTCTCTAATCTGAAGCTAATGTGTGACGCTGCTCTCATTCATCAGTCTGAAGTGAGCTGCGCGGGTCCAAAAGAGCAGCACACCGCGACTGGCCTTGACACACTCACCTTCGCAACACAATCCACACACATCGCACAATCTGCTGTTTATAAACCAGCGGTTACAAAAGAACGTGTCACTCATCCTCCAAAGATATTATTACATTCTTTAGCATCTTGCGGCAAACACGGAGACGTTCAGATGACTTAGATAAGCAGTTGAAGCCCACAAAGCCAGATGCTATTGGATCAGACAAAATACTTCTTTATTCAGACATAGTTACATAAAGACTCCTGTGGACTCACCACCTGCAGGAGGATCAGTGAGGGGCTGGTGCTAAGTGGACTGGGTGCAGCTCTGACTGCCACCCCCCCGACCCAGAAATGGATTAAGGGGAAGAAAATGGATGGATGGATGGAGTTACATAAAGACATGATTGGAACATTTTAGGAAAGACTGTGAGAAGTATTTGTTTTCAATTATGTACGTTGTAACCAAACATTTTAATCTTATTATCGAACATGCTTCAAGGCCAAGAGGAAGAAACTGCACTTGCATTTCAAACAAACAACCAACAAATATCACTTGACGCTAACTGGAGCTGTACTTATTTTTACCAATTGATTAATCATTAACTGCTCGATAAACAGACTGAGGGAGCCTAAACAGAGCAGCACTCAAATGAAATCAGAAAATCATTGGAAATTGTGTAAATAGAAAACAGAAGAAGAATATAACTTTATGCTTCTGTTACAGGGGAAAAAAAACGGAAATCTCCTCGAACATGGGTCACAGTCACATCTGCAATGCAACGGTCGATCTACGTACATCTCCCCCACCTATGATAGATAGATAGATAGATAGTTTACTTTATTGATCTCCCGAAGGACAAATTTAGATGTTCCAATGTGATGGTCATGAGCCTTGGGTAATGGCCGAAAGGATGAGATCGCATACAAGTGGTCGAAATGAGTTAGCTCCTTAGAGATGGGATGGGGAGATCAGTCACACGGGAGGAGCTCAGAGTAGAGCAGCTGCTTCCCCACGTCAAGTGAAACCAGTTGAGGTGGTTCGGGTATCTGCTTGGGACGCCTCCTGAACGCCTCTCTGGGGAGGTGTTCTGGACAGGTGGAGGGACTATGCCTCTTAGCAGGCCTGGGAACACCTCTTGCCCTTTGTGAGCTGGAGGACGTGTGTGCATCTCTGACTTCCCTATCTGCTGACCCTGCAACCCGGCAACGAATAAAGCGAAAAAACAAGGATATTGATAAATGATTACATTTTCCTTAGTATTGTGTGAAGGAAAATCACATCTATAAGAATGTTCTCTTCAGCTTTACAGGGGTCAAAATATCACATTTGCCTTTTAAACAACTTATCAATAAATTGTTGAATAATTGCTGGATTATCAATTTTCAAAATAATCGTTAAATACAGCTCTTATCGTAACCAAACAGTTGAAAAATTGTATCGTACATGCTTCAAAGTCAATGACAAAGACACAGTAACCAATCTGCACCTGTAATTCTAACACATTATGACCAAACCGCACTTAACCCCAACTTATTTGCACATATCCTAACACTGTGACCTGCCAGCAGAGCCATGACTCTCCCTGGACCCCCTTAGAACCTTCCATTGAAATTATACCGATGTTGATATCCGGCTTTTTGCTCCATATACGCTTCCCTAACTCTTCAACACGCGTGAAATTGCAGCGTGCTATCTAATATTTATTCTCTCTCATTTGCTTATTGTTTCTGGTGGAGGCTTTGGTCTGTTGACGGAGATATGACGCCGCGCCTCCTCCCCCCTCCCCCCTTCTTTCTGCGGGTCCCGGGCTCCACTCATTTGCCGGGGAGTTATAGATTTTTTTCCCCCTCTCTCCCCTTTCACCCAATGACAGCCGCGGTGAGGTGCTATGAGGGCTGGGTGCTAATGAGCTGACTCTGCAATGCTGGGGAGACGCTCGGCAACCAGGGACAAGAGAGGATGCCGGCGCTGGCCGCGTCATTGGGGTCATTATGAGAGCCACACACGGGGGTAACAGACTGACCACAGGAGCCTCCTCGGGCTGGACAACGTGCTGATGATAGTATAGTATAATAATTTCAAACACATGTATACAAAACAGTAAACATGATACAAAATTGAACAGCAATTCACAGTTTGAAAGATAAAGAGATAAAGCAGTTTTTTAAATTATAAAAATTATAATTTCAGTACAATGATTATTTGTGTGGATGTGATCGAAGATGTGGTGAGTAATGACACCAAGACTTACATTAATACACTGTATGTGCCTTATTAAGTTTAGAATAATGTGACATTTTAATGGTGTTTCTTTTGGGTGAAACCATTGTGTTGTGGATGGTAGTTAACAGGTCCTTTTTTCAAACTGAGATTTTGAATGATGAACTTTACTTCTAGAAACCTAGGAGATGGGAGTTCCCCAACCTGTCCACATTTTTCCCGTTGGTACCCTTTGAAGGGTTCTCTGTACGTATTAGTCCTCTGATGAGGGTCCTCTGGTCTCTGTATGACCGGAGCCAGAGCTGCATCGCTGGCGGTAAGTCAGACCTGTTTCCGGTGCATGTTGGCCTCCGCCAAGGCTGCTCTTTGTCACAGGTTGTTTTCACTGTTTTTATAGACAGAATTTCTAGATCCAGCCAGGGCCGGAGGAGGTCTAGTTTGGAGAACACAGGATTTAATCTCTGATGTTTGCAGACGATGTTGTCCTGTTGGCTCCAACGAACCAGAACCTTCAGCACCGGGACGGTTTGCAGCCGAGTGTGAAGCGCCTGGGAGGAAGATCAGCACCTTCAAATCTGAGTTGCTCGACCGGAAAAAATGTGCCTTGCCCTCTCCAGGTGGGTGGAGAGGTCCTTCCTCAAGTGGAGGAGTTCTAATATCTCTGTGTGTTGTTTATGAGTGGGGGAAGAATGGAGTGGAACGGTGCAGCATGTGTAGTGATGCGGCCGCTGTATCAGACAGTTGCAGAGAAGGAGCAGCTCAGACTAAAGGCAAAGCTCTTGATTCACCGGTAAATCTATATTCCAACCCTCACCTACATAGAATTTATCATCCAAAAGTAGCAAACTTTACAAATCGCTGCAATATCAATACACTGTCCTTATCTAGGACAATCAAATGGTACTGTACTTGTTTCTATGCAGACAAGAAAGTCGATTTAATTATGTTCTTCTTAAGTGTTCCAAATTCTGCTTTATCATATACCGTCCATCCATCCATTTTTTTCTCCTTAATCCCTCTCTGGGTCGGGGGTGGCAGTCAGAGAAGCCACCAAAGTGACAGGGCACCAGCCCCTCACTGATCCTCCTGCAGGAGGTGAGTCCACAGGAGGATGTCTGCTCTGTCACTGACAGCAGATCCTTGATCTTTCAGCGGGGGCTTCAGGCAAAGGGGGGTTAAGTGTCTTGCCCAAGGACACAACGACAGCAGACATCAATGGCAGTCTGTGAAGTAGGTCTCGGGGTGGGCATATTACTTCAACAATTCATATTTCAGTCTTCTTTGAATGTGAAAAATCTACATGCAATTGCAATGTTTCCAGAAAAATCACAAAAATATTTTTTTTTTTTCAAATTGTGCAGCTTTTTATGAATGCAAGAAACGATCGAATAAAATGGAATATGTAATTGCTGTGTTGAGCCTTTGCACCCACCAAAGCCAACCTGGATCGATGGCATTACTTAAAGATGAAATATTCAGTGTTAACAAATTCAAAACTTGTAGCATTAAGTAATACAGCATGAATAAATTAAATGTGGTACATAATTCACTCCTCTGCCTGTTTTAAAGCTCAAGTCAAAGTACATGCATCAGCTCTCGAGGATATATAGTGAGTAAGTATGTCATCTTTATTTATATAGTGCCTTTCACAGACTGAGAGACCCAAAGTGCACTCAAATTCAAGAGTTCATTTGCAAAAACAATCTTCAACATGTTTAGTTTTGGGTGTAGATTTGAAAGAATTTGCTGACACTGTATGGCTCTAAAATAGATATGGGTTTTCAAACAACTACTTGGTAAAGGGCAAATTGTTTCTGTCAAAGTTAGTCAAATATGTTTCTAATGGCACTGATTTTGCAAATTTACACTTCAATTGTTGACTTTTTTCCTATGATGGTCGCCATACAATAAAGTCCTTTTGTACATGTTTCTAGGAGTACATTACCTACACAGACAAGTGGAGAACATGCAAACTCCATAGTGAAAGGCCTCGTCTGGAGATGGAATAAAAAAAAAAAAACAGCCTTCTTGCCACAAAGCACAAGCGCTAACCACGGTGCCACCTTGCTGCCCAATAGTAAAAGTTGAATAAGCTAAGTAACCCTATGCCTGCGCTTCCTTTTTGAACTATTTCCCAACACATTGTGGGTTTTTCAGTGAAGATTTGGTAAAAAATGACGCAATATATGATGCAATGTTTGAATCTTTTCAAATAATGCATTATTTCTGTGCATATTCTCTTCATATATCTAGCAACACTTGAATCCCATTATGATATTTAACACAGCTTTGATGGTTTCCTAAAATCTTCCTCATATCTTTCAGACTGTGTGGTAATAATATTGACTTTAAACCCTGCAAGGAGGTGGATTAAGAGCTCCTTTAGTTGTCCCAGAGCGGGGAAATTTCAGTGTTGCATCACCAGTTACAGCACACGGCACAAGATAAATTAACTATAGCTCTACACTAAATAAAATAAAATCTCAGAGTACAAAAACTCTGAGAAACTGACTGTCGTACAGTAAAATAAAGAAGTATCTCTACCTAGCATAAAATCTCTAATAGAATAACATGTAAATAGTCTTAAATAGCTCTGTGGAAAAACATATTTAGCAATTTACACAGACTTGGTAGCAGCCCAATGACAGACATAATCTTTGACATTACTGAGATGCTTTTAAAATATAAAAAACAGAAGGACTTCATCTGCATAAGAATATGTACTCAAGAGGAAAGCACAGCAATTAGTGTCTTCTTGGTCCATTCTCTCAATCCAAATTAAAGGAAGTTCCTTTCCACTGCCTCCATTCACGCGGCTCCTATAGTTCAGACCGCAGAGAGTCCTTGGCACAATGTTGATGTTAATTGGGTGTATTTTCTTTTCAAAACCATGTATGTATACACCATGTTGCCAAGGAAACTTTTAATGAGATATTGTATCCACTTCTCCCTTTAGAACGAACGTATCAAAAATGTGCTTAATGACTGACGAGATGTTAAATATGTCATTGTCTCTTTGAAAAACGCAGACAGTCAAAACAAGCTCTTATCGTTTGGCCTGAATGTTGATGATAAACTGTAAAGCTATATCTATTACGGCTCTGAGGCTGAACCACGGCTGGATCAGGTCTAAAACAGGACTTACAGTACATTCTGAAATAGACACCGGGCTTTGGTCAGCTGCCTCAGACGTATAAGAAGGGCTAAAAAGATTATTCGAGTTACATGAATTATTCAATTAAACATGTCATTATAATTTCATTGTCTCGACTGTTCGGTTCATTTGAATAATAACTAAAAAGTGTAAAACATGGAAATATTGTCTGCGCTACAGAGCAGTTGTTGCGTAAGTGCTGAGTAATACTGCGATATTTACTATGAATAATATTTTTTTTTTTCAATGATACATGTTCGATAATATCGGTCGGTCCCATGATCACTAAAATAATCAAAAGCTACTTTTTATACACATGGATCATAATTTTACTGTTTTTTTTTTACATATTTGGTACATTTTTTCTAAGTGTGTTGAAATGTAAGAAAACAAATGAGTCCACTAACTTCACTTTGAATGACTTATTGATTTGTGTTCGATACTTTTGCACTACGTCATTATAAACCTCACCGTGAGAATGGCGACGGAGTTACAGCAATAGGATTTTTTTTGGGGGGGGGGTTCCTTCAGGAGCTCCGGTTAACAGCATCACCCTAAATATGCAGCAGCATGAATCTGATGGTGATCGGCACAGACCCGCTGCTGTCATCACCGAGTGCGTGGTGAATGAATAGTGACTTCAGCGCACTTGTCAAGCGCTAACATCATTCACAAAGCGCTAACATAGCACACATAGGGCAGCAAATGTGTACATATGTGCCAAATAAAATATGAGAACATTTCAACAAAGTAAAGAACAGAGGCCGTGTATCACAAGTAGGTTCATGGTTCTGTAAAAAGGTGTCTTAAAACAACTTAGAGATGCTGATTCTAAGATTGAAGAACAAACCAAGTCTATCAATTAGGAGCAAGTGTGAACGCAGCACTTTACGCAGCCTATGTTCTCATCTGCTCAAATCAGCAAATTCACACCATTTAACAACTGCACTACACAAGCTATGCCAAATAAATAGTTGAGATGGGACAACGCCGTGACAATTGCATATCCATTATTTACTATTCGGAATATATAATCATAGGACGTGGCCAAGTAAAAGCAGTAATGTCATGCTGCAAGTGAATGGAGATGTTTGCCTGACACATAAGGTCCATTTAAGCAGAACATAAATAATTCTCCACGGACAGAAGCAGCAGCAGCAGCAGCCTGAGGAAGAGGAGGAGGAGGAGGAGTGGACCGCGCTGAAATAGAAGGCAGACTTACACGCATGGGTGACCGAAAAGCTGTTGGACGACTCGAGGTTGTCAACGTTGTAGTTGAGGTGGAAAGGCTTTTCAGTGGTGTTTTGGTTTGTGTTGTAGAGTTGGACGGCGAACCTGAACGCGCTGTGCTCCTGGACCGTAGTGCGCATGAAGAGACCCCCTTGGAAAAGAGAGAACACAGGTTAGAGATTGGATTATACAGTCTGTTTAGTCTATATAGCTCGCATCTCGGGAAGGACTGCACTCTCATTGGGGATTGAGTTTGTGCATATAGGCCACTACTATACGTGCGCTGCGTTGCATCAGTTGGAGAGCAGTTGGGCAGTGCGTCTCAACTCGAGCTGTCTATCTTCTACTGGTGCAAAGGAAACTCCAGCATATAGCAATAAACACATACTAAAAAACTAATATAATATCACTTTATCATGTGGACCGCGTAGGACGAACACACTCCCATCCTTGCATAACTGTTAAAGCACTATAACTTCATTTTACGCAGAGAGGGCGATTCATGTTTTTGAGTCTTCCCACACGCACACGCTCCCCCTTTTTTCCACCCAGAGAACATGACACACATGTTTAACCACTAAAGGCACACGTTGCGCGGGGACTTACCGATATTTATCTGATTGGGGAAGCCAGCGAGCGATCCGTCCACAAGCCACAGCAGAAACAAAACCGCGCGTTGTGCCATTTTTCGCCCCGTTCAACTCGTCAGAGCGGTCCGTGTGTGCGCATTCATACGTTCTTCCTCTATGGCAGGGATGGAGAGCGCGGAGAGACGGTCCGGTGGAGACAAGCGGAGGATGATGGCTTTCCCACAGTCTCACCGCGCACCAATTAGGTTCATTCAAGAGGCGTCCAGCTGCAGAGCGCTTTTTTTTCTTCCTCCTCTTGTGCAACTAAAGATCCAGCAAGAGAGAGAGAAAGAGAGAGAGAGAGAGAGTGCGTGCAAGAGAGAAAGAGGATGAGGAGTGGGAGAGGGGGGGGAGAGGCGATCTGAACTCCGATTGGACCAGTCGCGCCAAAGACAGCGTTGGTCAAAGTTGATCTGACGTTGAATAAAAGAAGAAGAAAAAAAGCCACACGTTCCACTGCCTGTGTTACATGTTTCCTTTTAGTGAACGGGTAGAGGAGCGCGCACGCCCCGCCTGTCAATATTGGCTTAATACGCGGGCGAGGGATCAATAAGGAACACTGCAATCTCAGGTGGCCAATGGTCGTGCGCGCCATAGGACACTAACAGCTGCGGCATCTGCTGAGCTGCGTAAAGCGTGTACAGGGCGCTCTCCTTTCAAGGTCCGGGAAGTTTCACGATATTAACCTGTAACTTTCAAACCGTATTGTTGTTATTGAGTCGAATCTGCAAATTCAGGTATTTGGATGAAGGGACCGTGGCGGCTCCAAATCTGAACCTCAGGTGTGTTGCTTTTGTGATGGCTAAAAGCAATGTGCAAATCTACAGTGTTTTAGGTTATATGTATTACATTTTATATGGCCACTTGTCTTCGGTATCATTTTTTTTTCTTCATGATTTGTTTCTTTATTGTTGTATCAATCAATTGTGAAGAAAAAAAAAACACTCACTGCTTCTCTAATCTTACCTTTGCCACTAAATCTAATCCTGTGCCTTTGGAAGCCATGCAATATCACCTCACTGGTAAAAGAAACCTATTGAATAAATCAATACTTGAATAGTCAAACATGGCTGAGAATGACTAAGCATGGTTAATAAAGGCTAAAGAGTTTCATGTTTATTTCAGTTTCAGATGGTGCTGTGCCATCTGATTCTTTTCAATTAAAAAAGAACATCTCGACTCAAAAATATTGGCGAACACAGCTCTAAATATTCAGCTTCCATAGCACATTATCAACCACAAGTCTGACTTCTTTCTTGGTCCAATTTCTGGATAATGTTACATCTTTCCTTTCTTTCTTACTGACCTTAAAGAGGAGCTCAAAAATATAATAGAACTGCTGATGCGTTTGCGTACCAGTGACACTGTACGCATGCCACAGTTTGATAAACAGTCGTTACTATTACTATATCTCTGTACACCCTTTCTCCGCATGTGTCAGACAGGAGCAGTACATTTCTTCAGCTGCATGGCCAAAGTATTGGACAAACCACACAGACCCCTATACGTTCTGCTCAGACAATCAGACGTGTCCTTGATAAAGACCTCATGCTGTTGTATTTACTTTATTTGTTTCTGCTGCGGCGCTGATCTGTCGTCTGTGATTCTGACTCACACTGAACAATTAAGGGATTACTGGCCCATTTATCACCCTCGGCAAAGCGCTTTGAAAATTGAGTTTTTAATTGAGCTGCAAATGGATAAGGCTTCGGCTATTGATACTACACTGCACGCACTCTTCGCTCTGTGGAAGATTGTGCCCTGTGGTGATTTTATTGCATGTTTCCAGCCTTTTAAATGTCCACTGGTAAAACTGACAGAGCTTTGTAGTCTTGTTTGAAGCTCGGCTGTTAACCCGTGTCGATCAAGTAATGATGTGGTATGACCTGATTCCAAGCCGGGCGTTTCTTTCCAAAAAGGGTCAGAACAAATTCCCATATCAGTCTGCCCCATGGGAGGGCTCCGAGATGACATCACATTGATTTTTCAGCCCACCATAGCGTCTGCTCTGGAGTAACCTGACATCATTTGTGTGACCCTTAATGGCTCAAGTAGTCATAACCGCTGTTAAACTATGACCTGAGATAATATGAACGACCTGAGCTTTCTTGCATACTGTGTAATCTTTCATACGCACATTCAAATGCTTTAGAATTAACTATCAGAATCAGAATCTAGGAAATTGCTTTTGGTCACGGTGCAAACAAGTTATACAAGTAAAGATATACAGTAATAAGGCATGTTTAAAAATGTACGTATATAAAATCTGCTTAACATTAAGTACACTGAATACATGGACCAAAACTCCCTATAATCCGTTGAGCAAGACACATGTAAACCGATTGAGGTATTATTGGATCAAACCATTTCTACTCTGCATAAACCATGTAAACAGATCCGATTGAGACACGGCCAGCAGATTCATTTATGAGCGTGTCGAAAAGTCGTGCTGATATTAGAAATGTATATATTTGGAGGTATGGGCCGCTCACTCATTATGATGAATACACAGTCACTTGCTGCACAAGTTTCAGGGCTTCTTTACGAGGGAAAAAAGAAGGAATATGGTGCGTTTAATTGCGCTGCAGACGTGGATTGAAGTATGCTGTTGTAGTTGAGAATGTGAAAAAATCAAATGCTTAAAGTAGACAATATGTTGCATGATTACATTTACCAAAAGTATGCTTTTACATAGGACTGGGGGATGGATGGTAAAAGATTGGAATCTCAATGATTTGGACGATTTCATCTGTTGTAGTCAGAGCCCCTGAGTGAAACCACTGTTTGATGTGTACAAATGCTGACATCTCAATCATAATCCACGTTAAGCTTGTGATTTACACGACAACCTGCAGAGGCTCTGAGAAGAACCTCGATTTCACAAGGTGCTTTATTGCCCAGTCATACTAGATAGATAGATAGATAGATGGATAGAAATGTTATTGATCCCCGTTGAAGAAATTCAGTTGTCCAGTAGTAGCAGAAACACATCCATCCATACAAACAAAATACATAGATACATAATTCTAAACGTAGCTAACAAAAGGGTTAAAATGCAACAACACTTTAGGTCACAGCATCAGAGGTGGAGCCGCTTTGTTCGTACCATTTTCTCTGCTCTTGTCCAAAGTAAAAGGCTGAATGCTGTCTTAGCATTTTTCAAAAAGTTAGCATTCCTCCAGTAGATTTTTGCCTGATCCGCCTGGTTCGGACCATGAATCCGCTCCGCTCCGGTCTGGACCACTGCAAAAACCATGAACACTGCTCTGCAGCAACATCTAAGGTAGAAAAACAAAAAGTGTAAAGCACAAAACAACAACAGTCTCAGAGCTACTTGGCACTTTCTGTCGTTTCCAGCGCATTCAAAATACACTAATACAGTATATGTTTTATTTACAGTTGCACTTAATACAAATATATTTTTTGCAACCATTATGTACAAAAGACAACAAAGAGGCTACACAAAATACATAAGGTTCAATTCAGAGTTTGAAAAGTGGCTGGACATCACAAATACTGTTTCCAACCCCTCTCACTCTTACAACACAACACAAAGGACACACACACATATCATTTTATATAAGGAAACATACAGCCACAGATAGATATCATGAAATTAACATTTACAAGAATGACAAATGGTTGTAACCTGCATTTACATTGTGACAAGCGTGCGAACACAGGGACTACATATCTCCATTGCTCTGTCTGAACTGTACTAATTGCGCATAATTTCTGATCCAGCCGCAGAGTGGGAGAAATCACCGAGTAGCCACAAGCAGAGCTGCAGTCAAGATAAGGCCTTGATATAATTGATATAAACTGGTGTGGTGCTAAATGATTTTGTAATTGGAACATTCTACTACTGCGGCATTATCTCTCCTTAACCTTTTGCTCGAATTCAATTTGCGCACCAATGTACAAAATCAAAGATAGGATCTCTGTGAAAACAAATAGTGCTCTATGATATGGCTTTTAGATTGAAAACATTTGTGCGAGTGCAGCTCTCTTGTTCGAACGTGAAGCGAGCGGCGGAGATGAAAAGATGTTGCTGTTTTATCTTATGATGATTCACTACCTTATACCTCAGAGCACTGCTACGCTCACCGCCACAAATTATTCATCATTCATGTGTTTCTTCTGAAAAGGAGAATCAGACAGCGGACCGTGCAGTATGGACTTCAACTTTTTATTATGGCCTCTTTGTAAAAAAAACAAAAACAAAAAAACCACAATAGAATCACAGAGCACTTTAAAGCTAGGTTACATAATCTAATACAATTTATACTTACTTCTTTTTAAGTCAGAGATGTTATACTTAATTCTTGTTTCTTAATTTTGCTAAAGCTAGATATTTTAGACTGGCTTCTTTATGACACCATTGTACCTTTATGACTTTCAATATTGAAAACAAAAACAAATTCTACATCTCTCTTTGGTGGTAGCACAGGGATCGGACTGAAGATAAACGGAGAATAGCGCTATACTGATATAAAATAAAACTTTAGCATAATAAAGAAGCAAGTATGAAATCTCTGTCATGGTGTGGATTTTAAGTTATTTTGTACCTGTGTCTCTCTGTGTCTATATGTACCTGTGTCTCTCTGTGTCTATGTACCTGTGCTCTTCTCCCCTTGTCGCTGGTCCATGGTATTGTCTCTGTCTTTGTTTGTCTGTGTTCCTGAGTTCCGTTTGGATTCTTTAGTTTGTTCTCACCATGGAATTTTATTCATTACACTGGGTAACAAAAAAATATTTTTTGAAAATAGTCGAGGTTTTCCAGCTGAATTCGAGTCCGAAAATGACCTTGGTTTTGCTCAATCAGGTCAGGATTTTTTGCTACAGAAATATTCTTTTAAATCGATTTTGCGTAAAAAACAAATTTCTGCGGATCATCAGCTGAGAAACCCTTGACGTTTTTTCCGTTTTCCTCAAGAAATAAAAGTCAACGTATCCAAAGTCATTCCGTTTTTATTTACTCCATCAAATTTGATAAGCAGAATTCATAATAACGTAGACGTACGTAATCCGTAACACTATGGCTGTATCTCAAGTT